ACAATGTTGTCCAATCTCCTCTCAATTTTCTTTCACAGTTGCTGGTCTTTTACTTCTGTATAGCTTAAAAGCATTTATATGATAAATTAGTTCTTCCATTAATATATTCTTGGATATTAGCACCATTTTAAAAACATTGGTTTTGCTTGTGATATTCTTTCATTGGTTATTCAAATATAGAAATAATTTTCTATAACACTTCAGGATTTGATTACAAAGGCTTGGACAACAACTGGAACTAATTAACCAATCAACAAGTTAGAGATTTTTCTGTAAATAATTATGTGGATGGTGGTGGTGGTATTGGTAGTGGTGGTACTTTTAAACCCCAACATCTAGTACTTATTTGAAAGAATTTGATTAGGGAGAAGGAAGGAGGGGGAGACATCTATCAAGATGCAAGGTATTCATGAACTACTTTTTCAAATGACAGCTCCTTTGCACAACTGCTTGAAGATAAGAAAGAGACACAAGTCTTATTATTCTTCTTTCTGGCTGCCCACCTTGTTGTACCCACCATGCATTGAATAAACTCTTATCCTTCATGGCTGAAAGAATTTTTTATGATATTCTATACCTCTAGATGCTACATTCTAAGGGCATTTTGGCATTTGAGAGATTTAGCTAAGTGATTTTAATCCATTAATCAGACTTTAATATTAATTTGATATCAAAGAGAACGTCAAACACTTTTTAACTCAGTTTATAATATGTTTCTACAGGTTAGGGGTTCCTCATTACTATTTCAGAATTGTCCTTTTAACAATATTCATAAATGTAGTATTTGTGATATAGATGACCATGCAAATTCTTCTCTCTCTGTCTCTGTCTCTCTCTCTTTTTTGGATACTTCTATATAACCCAGGATAGCCTTGAACTCAAAGTGCTGTTGGGATTATAGGTGTGTGACAGCATGCCAATCTGGTTAAATTACAAATAATAGGCATTTCAAAAAATATTTATTCTATTTAAGAACAATATATGCTCTTTTTTATTTGTTTTTTTCCTTTATTGAGCTGTTGCTCTCTCAGTCTTTCTGTAGAAGCAATAAAACATAGGTAAAGCAAATCCCACACTCAGAAAACTTGAACTGAGCTTAAGTCTCATGCATCCATTTATTTAAGATAGACTAGTATAGACAGGTTTAAACCCGGGAAATGCAGCACGTACTAATTTTTGGTACTGATATGTTCAGTGAAAATTAAGATGCTTATGTCTGAAATCAATGGTTAGTTTGTGGCAAGTAAGAAGTTTGCTGCAATATATATCCTCACAATATATGTTCTTAAACATGTAGTCTAGTCCCTAGCATGGCAAACATTCTATAAGAATTTCCATTCTAAAATTCTGCAGATTTCTTATTAACTTTACATTTATATATTTTATTTTATATTTATATTCCAAACAATATCCTTTATTGAATTTTAAGTTGAATTACATTATCTGTTTATAGAAGACTTACTGGGTTATGACTATTTTTTCTTTAGGTACTTTTCCCGAATCATTGATGTTTTCTTAATTCTGTTTTTGAAGCTGTTTCATGTATATATAAAATCAGACCATTTGTCAAAAATGATCATTTTATTCTTTCTGCAACAATGGAGTAAAGCAACACTTATAATGTTGATCTTCACAGACATCTTTGTCTTTTTCTTAATTTTATTCATTTATTTTGTGCTAATCCTGTGGCTTGAACTCAGAGCCCAGGCAATATCCCTGTGCTTTTGTGCTCAGGGCTAGTCCTCTACCTCTTGAGCCAGCCACAGCTCATGGCCTTCTGGAGGTTCCTTAGAGATAAGACCCTTATGGACTTTCTTTCCCTGGTTGGCTTTGAACCACAATCCTTAGATCTCAGCATCCTGAGTAGTTTAGACTGCAGGCATAAGCCACCAGTGTCTAGCTCTAATCTTAGATAAAATTTGTTTACATATTGTCAATTACACAAATATTTGGATGAATGCTGGCTTTCTCATGAAGTTTCAGAAGAAAATGAAACACAATAGCAAGCTGTATTAAATTGACTCCATTGCTACATCTAAGGAGAAAATATTGTATAAATATGATATATATTTCCCTAGTTCTCATCTAACCTTCCTGAATTTTAATGAAAACATGTCATATATTTAAATTTACATTGACTTTAAAAATAGCTATAACTTATTACACATAGTCTTAAATACTTTTAATTATCAGTGCCTAGTCTTCAACACTTTTGTGCAGAAAATAGAACATGGTGTTTTACAGAAAGGAACTTTTCTATGTGTTTGCATCATAGCATGAAGTTGACAGAAGTGCTGAAAATCATGGGACTTTTGCTTTTCTTTATAACCTTCCTATAGAAACATTTTCATTAATTAGTAAAGATAACCTTGAATATGTCATGACCCTCATTTTAGCTTTTGTGATATTAATTTCTTCCTGTCATTAAAAGCGATGTATTTCAAATCTTTACAAATAAATGAGCTGAAACACATAAAACTCAATTCACTGGAGATTTTGTCAACATCTGGTAAAGTTATTTTCTGACTAATTAGAGCAAGAGGTGGGGCAATTCCCTGAAGTGAGCTACCCTAAATTTGGATATCTAGTTATCGCTGCAGTCAGCAGCTTACATACATTGACCATTCTATTTCACAATTTGACAAATAATTATGCAGAGTTTCTAATCTGATTTCCTAACACCACTTATGTTGTGTTCCACATATCCCTAAAAGTTACCTTTTCTTAGTACTCTTATAGTCTTTTCTAGGTCATTACACTATGCTATTTATATTATTGGAGATATTGACAGTATACCCTTCCAGTGCAATGTTCTTTATTTGTCTTTGATCAGTCCCACATTATTTATGATTTGGATTTTGAAAACATGTATCCATAGAGATAGCAGGAAGAAGAAGAAGAAATCAAATGCTTCTATTTATTTTTCAAAAATCATTTTATCACTATTTAGCTTAGCAATGTTGATGAAGGATATCATAATAGCTAAACATATTTTTCAAGATTATAAAATACAGATTTGGAAGGTATCTCAAAACTTAAGTAGCTAGTTATATTGCTGAAGAACAAAAACACTTAAACCACAGAAGAAAACTATGAATCTTTCGGATTTCAAAGAAGCCCAAGAAATTTCACAACTATCCTAAATTATTCCATTGTGGAGTAAAACATTATTATAAAGAAGTTTCTTCCAAGGTTAATCGTATAAGTTATTAAAATATATTCAATTTTTTCTGCTTTTAATATTTCATCTTTAAGAAAAATATCTATCGAACCATGAAGTCAGGAGACTTAACCATGACAGGAGTCAAACACTCTCATCAAGACTCACCCAGAAAATGGTCCTTTGCTTATTTCTCCATTTCAAACTATCACCATTCTGTTACTCTCAACTCCACTTCAAGGGAGTTAGGATGCATATGCAGATGTATTATGGGGCTATAAGAAACTTTGAACTTGACTCAGACATATACTAGTTATTTCAAATAAGGGAAACCATGGGACCTATGTTTTTTTGGGCCTGGCTTACTTCACTTAATATAATTTTTTACAAGTTTTTCCATTTCCTAACAAATGGGGCAATGTCATTCTTTCTGATGGAGGCATAGAATTCCATTGTGTATGTATACCACCTTTTCTTGATCCATTCATCTACTGAGGGACATCTGGGTTGGTTCCATGTCTTAGCTATGGTAAATAATGCTGCAATAAACATAGCCGTGCTGGTAGCTTTAATATGGTCTTATTTGTGATCATTTGGGTAAATGCCCAAAAGTGGGATTGCTGGGTCATAGGGGAGCTCTATGTGGAGTCTTTTGAGAAACCTCCACACTGCTTTCCAAAGTGGTTGAACAAGTTTACACTCCCACCAACAATGCAGCAAAGTTCCCTTCTGTCCACATCCCCTCCAGCATCTGTTGTTATTAGAGTTCTAGATTATAGCCATTCTAACTGGGGTGAGGTGGTATCTCAATGTTGTTTTGATTTGCATTTCTTTTATGGCTAGAGAGGTTGAGCATTTCTTCATGTGTCTATTGGCCATCCTTATGTCTGAGTCAAGCAGAAAAGGTCAGATAAGTTGATGTTAGGGGAATGAACCCCAAGATAAGTATTCAAATTTTTTTGTTTTTTTCTTTCATGCAATTTTTTCTAACATAGTTATAAGATGATTTCTTTGTTACTTTGTATATCCCTTCCCCAAGGTATAACTCATGCTTTCACTGTATTTGATGTTGGTATAATTTGTGGAGGGGAAGGGAAAAAACAAATCGTTTAACTAGGGATACAGGTGGACCCATTGCAACAATGAGATGTACAAGTTGTTATGTCGAAAAACGAACTTTACAACTTTGGTGGGGGGTGGGGGGAGGATTGGGTGGGGGGAGTGGGGAGTATGGGAAGGAATGGGAAGGGGAAACAAAGAGGAGACATCAGTGCTTGATAAGAAATGTACTCGTTATCTTGCCTATGTAATTGTATCTCCTCTGTATGGTATTCTCACAATTAAAAAAAGAAAAAAGAAAAAAAAGAAACTTTGAACTTAAAATATTTATAAGTTCCTTTGAAAATATAAAGGGAAACTATGTATATAGGTAAACAATTGGCAGAGATACCAGTAAGTATAATCTGTTCTCAATTGAATATGTTCTCCAGATTTCAGGACTTCAAGGTCTGAAAAACCACAGTGAAATCTGAGGACATTTTCTATGAGGACATTTACCCTTAATTCAGTCTATTCACTCACAATATTTATTCTGAGCATGAATTAGGTGCTCATTGCATGCAGTCCATGGGAATCAAGAATTTATTCTTTATGGTTTACTTTGCAATGCATAGAATCAGGAATGATTTAGATTTAGGTATCACAGAAGTATAACCAAATGGGTTGAACACATGTTTTTTCTGAAGGATATTAACACTGTCTTCAGCTTCACTAATTGAAATAACAGTCGAACAGCAAGCTGGTGTGGCCAGAGAATTCATGAAGATAATCCAGAACTCACCCGAGGATTCGTCTACTCTCTCATCTACTATGTGGTCCTTCTGATGAACCCATTCACTGTTGCACTTGAAGTAGATCTGGGTGGCCGGGCTGGCTTTACAATACAGGTTCACAGGCTTATTCTTCACAATATAAGCCTCTTCTGGCTCGATAAGGAAATGTGGCAGAGGCTCAGGTGGATCCGATGGAAACGTTTCTGGGAGTTCATGGAAAAAGTCATCATCTAGTGAAAAAGAAGAAAGTGGAAAATGGGTAAAACATAAAAATTTGCCTTTGAGTTGCTATTCATTTTAAGTGACTTACATGCCTTTTATATGTAAAGCAATGTACTAGCTCCATTGACTATGTGCTAGCTATCACAGCCAGATTATAATTGTCATTTCTACATAAGACAAAACTTAACTTCAGGGAGAACAAATAAGTAAGTTGCCCTGCAAACAGGAAAAACAGACTGGAATGCAGATCTCTCTCACTCATAAACTGACATTCCCAATATATGTCTGCACTTCCCAATATACCTTGTTCTTGTTGAGCACTGAACCAAACAGTGAATTCACAAGAGGAAGGTATTTAAGGTTAAGCACTAAAATGTAGATAATATCAAGTAAGTCAACAGTAGAGCCCTAGTAAAAGATGGACAGAAATCTAAAAGTGATGTGTGAACTGATTTTAAAATTATACTGGGGGTGTTAATATGGCTTGGTATGCCTAATTAAACCTATTAGAACATTACTGAGTGAAAAGGTCTCGATTTTATTGCACTCAAAATTATCAGACATTGATCCCAACCTAATATTTTCACAAGTAAATAAAAAAAACACTTGAGATTCTTATACACTTGAGGGAATTTTATTTATTTATTGACTTGATTCTATATAATTTCATTGGTTAAAACTACCATGTCAACAGAAAAAAATATATATATATTAAGTGAAGTAAGTTAGGGTCAAAGAGACAAAGGGCACATTTTTTTCTCATACGTGGATGTTAGCTCTAAATGATAAACGCCCATATTCAAAATGCCCAAGAATATTGACTGAAGTATTATATTGAAAAGGGACAATTCCAATTGTGTCATTCCTTTGAATTTACAGTGCAACAAAATGAATATGAGAAAGCTGAAACATGTTTTTTCAGAGGGGAGAGAAGTCAAGGAGAGGGTGAACAGATGAATGAAGAGAGGAAGGATGAGTAAAAAGTCATAATATTCAATGTACAATTGAGAAAATAGAAGCAGGTAACTTGAGGGTGTGGGTGGAGTTGGGACAGATAGTCGAGGATGATTGAAATGCTGATGATGATCAAGATACATTGTAATCATAAACTAACATGCTGAATTAAAATCCTTGGTACACTATTTAAAGATAAAAGAAAATCAAACTACTAAGTAAAAACTTTTCTTTTTTCTTTTTTTCTTTCCTTTTTTTTTTTTTTTTTACTGGTAGAGGCCAGTTTGGGTGGTAGCCTAGCAACAAAGCTCTAAGTTCCAACACTACTACTACTAAAATTAAAATTTTTTACAGCTCTGTGCTGCTGGCTTACACCTGTAATCCTAGATACTCAGGTGGCTGAGATCTGAAGCTCGAGGTTAGAAGCCAACCTGGACAGAAAAGTCTGAGATTCTTATCTCCCATAAACAACTCAGAAGAAACACAAAAACCCCAAACCAAATCAAAACAACAACAACAACAAAACAAACCAGAAGTGGCGCTGTGGCTCAAGTGGTAGAGTGCTAGCCTTGGGCAAAGGAATCTCAGTGACAGTGCCCAGGCCCTGAGTTCAAGCCCCAGGACCAGTTTAAAAAAATAGTATATCTTTAAAGGTACATGTATGTGCAATATAAAGATGATACCCATACTGTTTATTAAAGTCTGGCTGTTCCCATTTTATTTTGACTCATTCCATTGTTGACTCATTTAGGGAGCTAGCCATTGATAAAGTTGACATCTGCCCATTGAGAAATCTGGCTTGGGGATTTTTTTTCATCCTGGTGCTGGAAGAGCAATCAAGTGGTGATGACACACAGTCTGCCAATCTGTTCTGCAGTCAAACTTGGCTTCTCTTGCACCAGAGACAAAAATCAGCTTTCAAAGCTGCTCCACCACTGTCAGTTCCTGAGGTGGCATGCAAATTTTGATGTTTGCTGCAGCTACCTTTCTTCCTCACTTTACTTCCTTCATTTACTTCCTCCTGGCAAGGCATCACTTCTAGTTTTTCCATTGTTGAACCACAAGGATCCAAACTGTCAGCTTACTAAAGAATAACCTAGTTTCCATCAATTCAGCTTGAGCGGTCAATAGGCACTCAAGACTGCTGAAATAAACCTAGCTCAGAAAGGCACAGACATGAGGAATGATGCTATCGACAGATCCTTCACTACAAAACTGATATCTTGAGGGCCTTCTCCAATCTTTTTTCTGCCAAAGCACTTACTGTTATATGTGAAGATGGAATCAATAAAGCTCCACCAATCAGGACTCAAACTACCGAAAAGGTTAGCTGTTGTGTTTCATCATTACTGTTTGTAAATTCAAACGAGTTGGTAAATGAGTAGTGAATGAACTTCCAAAAATTATATTTATTTAATTCTGCAAAATAAAAACATTTCTTCCTTTCAGCCATGGTTTTAAGTGTATTCAATTTGCTCCTTTTAAAGGAATGGATCCAAGATATCAGATGATTGTTCCTACTTTGCTTTATTCAATAATGTGGCATAAATATTTATATGTTCACATCTTATAGAAAGACTCAGACACTAAAAATCGATTACCTTGCCTTGCCAAACCATACATATCTGTTTATTCTGATTATTTTATTGTGAACTATTGAGGAGAATAATGGAAGATTAGAAAATCATACATACATTTTGAAGATAAAAGGGACTGTGTTTAAATGTAATGATGCTATAATGTATCTAGAAAACATGAAAAAACTGACTTTGCATTTCCTTATTTTTGAGTTTCAGACAAGATGATCATTGTAATAATTAGAAATAAATTTATGTTTTGGTTTGGAGCTTCACCCAACATTGATTTAAAGTGCTTATTAAGACTTCAATGAAACTTATTAAGGAATGATTTGCTACTAGCAACGTTTTCTTTTTGTGATAAATCCAATGTTACCTTTACACATCATTCCAGCTTCTGCAAAACCCATTTCTTACTTTGCCTCTAGAGAACTGTCTTGTCCAAGAGTAGTATATTAAGCTTACTAATATTTCTTATTAAAAATATGTATGTATACACATATTATAAATTCCACTCTGTGCTCTAGATGAATTTATTTTAGATGTTATAGCATGTCACTCATATTACTCAATTCATGCATTGGAAAAAACAATAAAGAAAATTATTTATGAAAATTAAAGATCTTGAACCAGTAAATATGAAGAGTAAATAATGGTGACAAAATGCAACTGGGCTGCTTATTAGTAAGATAACCAAATGTTCTGAAACTCCTGCCTCTCCCCTTTAAACACTATCTACTCTGAGAACTACAATCAGCCATGGGTATAGGTTAGAGCAACAATTCCCTCCACTATGAAGTTAGTCATGCTACGTGATCCCGATCCTACCTGATTGGTCCAGTAAAACCCTGACTCGGCATTGGCATGATTACTTTTTAAAAATATATTTTAATAGCAGTATTTTAGAAATTGCATTTTAAACAACATTTTATATTAAAATTTTCTTCTCCTAGAGTATGTTTTGAAAACAAAAAAAAAGCAACCCAGAAAATGCATGGGGCCTGGTTTCATGTGATAAGAATTCTGAGACAGGATAGTAGAACGCTGAGCCCAGCTGGGTCCTACCTTTATGTGACAGCTCAAGACATGACACCAAGAAAACCAGTCTACAAATATTAACAGGCTGAATATTCCACTCCGCAGACAGTCACAAGAATGAGACTATATATGTCTTAGTAAGCACTCTCTTGAGAATTTATTTGATGTTCCCTAGTGGATTTTTTTGGTATTGTTTGTTTTTGTGGTAATTAGATATTGTTAGAAGACATGAAATTAAGACCCTGAAACTCAAGCTCTACCCAACTCTCTAAGCAAGTAGATTTGTAATGGTGTGTAAGGTGAAGATGTGTGACTTTATCTGTTGATGGGTCTTCCCTTTGGATAAGCTCCAGTACCCATCTGTAGGCCTGAACCAAAGCCAGGAAATCCTGACATGCCACAGTTAAATCTCTCAGACCATTAACAACTCTTCACTACATAGTGTTCAGAACATTTGAGGTTCTACTTTGACCTGAAAACACATGACAGAACTGAGTTTCTATCATATGATTCATTTTACTACACAAACAAATATTTTTTTCTGATACTATTAGGGTCATATTATAGAACTTGAAGCTTTTAAAGATTCACCCTTTATTCCACAGGGCAGATCGGTGATCACATTCTCTTGTCATTTTATTTCACCCAAGGGGGTAAGGTCAAGGTGATGATAGCACCCTGATTTGTGAGCTATGACTTCATCTGTGAACTTATTTCTGGCACCCTAAACTAATACATATCTCAGTTTGATATTGGCTACATTCCTCTATTTGCCAAAATGATTTGGATAATGAAGTTGCTAACCAAGTCTTTTCCACATAGATTTTTTCCAGATTAACAAAGGGAAATTTCCAAAGTGGCTCTTGTTTTGTACATTGAATTCTATATCCACTTAAGCTATGTATGCCTTTTATGATGTGGTTATCATGTTATTATTCATTTTATTCTCCTTGAGATTTGACTTAATTTTCTACTTTCTACTACTACTCAATAATGACAAACCAACAGTAGCTCCATTTCTATCCTGGTATTAGTAAAGCTCAGTATTTCGATTCCAGTTATCTCACATGGCTTTTTGCTTTTTCATTTATATACAAGAAAGAAAGTGTTATACCATGTATTATTTTTATAGACTTTCATTCTACCTAATTCTTGACAGGAAAATATTATGCTATGAACATCCATCTACGAAGCTTTAGGTTGCTGGTTTTATTGCTATAGATCAAACCTTAATTTTCATCAACTTAATACATATGTTTCTATATTTCTGAATCATAAGACTTAAACTATTATTGCTTATATCATAAAATATAGGACCATTATCTCTTTGTCTGAGACTTGAAGCATATTCTTCTGAAATGGAATTTACTTCCAAATGATTCCAGAGCAATTTAAAATGAATGACTTCAAAGCTAATTTTATGTGCATTTAGCCATCCA